AACATGCTGCAAATCCAAAACATCACTAAAACAGAGTGACAAGTAGATAATAAAAGATGATGAGATACTAACAACGGTATTAGAAAAGGGGAAAAAAGAAAACACAGGATTTTGATGACCGTTGAGAGGATAAAGAATGCACGTAGGGTGGTAAAGAGAAATTTTTAACCAAATGGATGTAGTGTTGGAGCTCGATAGAAATCGTAACATGAGAGCTATGCAAATGTGCATTTGGCCAAGATGTTTCCTGAAGCTACAACTCTAATTGAAATGTATTAGAAATTTAAGCTTCCAAATCATGTACTTGCGCAGTATTTTGGTTAGACATCTTGAGACTCTACCATGACAGAAAGAAAAGGATAACAACAGATAGTGGGTGCATACATTTTATTAAAAGCATATGCAAGAGCAAAAAGATGGACAAATGATAGAAATTAATTGCAAAATGATCAAAATTGCAGTCTCCCTCAAGGTATGGAGGAAAATTTTTAAAAATCATTAAAATCTCAGCTGTAAAGAATGCTTTGAAATTGATCAGTACAGGAAAAACTCCATATAGACGAATTAAAAACAGAACTAAAGGTTCTTGGACAAATAGAACTAAAGGTGATAACAGACATTTGTGATCAGAAATATACCATAAGATACATTCCAACTGACTTGAGACATTCATCATTTAAGTTATCTAAGAAACCTATAGCAATAAAGTGCAATCATTTTAAGAGCTATGAACTTTCATGGTATCTCAAAATTACGATCTTCAAGATCACTTCAAAGAGAAGCAGTAGGGGTTCTTGTGGGGCAGTGGTAATGTCTGTACTCTGAGCCAAGAGGCCTGGGCTCAAGTCCCACCTGCTCCTGAGCAGCCAATGAAATCTCTGAACAGGTTGAACAAAAATACCTAAAGAGAAATAGTTACAAATTTGAAGCAGGTAGAAGCGAAATGCATAATGAATTTTGACCTGGAGTAGGAACAAAAGAGGGAATATTTGACTTAATGAGAGCCTTTGATAAATATTTATAAGTAAACAAAAATATTTACATATGCTTCATAAACTATGAAGGGGGATTTAGTTGTGTTTATCATCAAAAGCTAATGGGCATGATGCTGAAATGTGACTGATAGGAAAGATGTGAAATTTACACAAAGCTTACATTGGGTCAAAATCTTAAGCATCAGGCTTGATGATGAGCAATCAAATGTGTTTCGGATAAGTAGTACAACAAGACTATATATTGTTGCCAAAACTATTTAATCTGTACACAGAACAAATATTCAGAGTCAAGTATATCCAGGGTAAAAAACTGCACAGGCTACTTGGATATCAGAAGTGGCCCTTCAAAATACCACAGATCAGGTAAAATTTAGAAGTTTAGAATATAGATTAAGTGCAAGCACCAAAAAGATAAATCCAACAGTAGGTCATACATAAGAAGAAACTAGAATGAAGTGGATAATGTCACATTCAAACAATCAGATTAGTTTGTTTGCTTAGGCCAAATGACAGCATAGGTTGGTAGATGTTATGCTAAGTCAGGAGAAGAAGACAGCCAGATGTAAATTAATTAAGGTGTAGGATATTTGAATTATCACTGGACTGTTAATCCAGAGACCCAGATAACGTTCTGGGGACCCTTGGTCGAATCCCGCCGCAACAGATAGTCTAATTTGAATTCAATAAATATCTGGATTTAAGAATCTAATGATGACCGTGAATCCATTGTCAATTGTCGGAAAAACTCACCTGGTTCACTGATGTTCCTTAGGAAGGAAACTGCCATCCTTACCTCGTCTGTACTAGATGTGACTCCAGACCTGCAACGTGGCTGACTCTCAACAACCCTCTGGGAAATTAGGGATGGGCAATAAGTACTACCCAGCCATCAACACCCTCATCCCGTTAATGAATAAAAAAAAAACAACAGGAATGTGAAACAAGGAAAATAACTTGAGATATTACATTCCACCCACTTATTGTTTAGATTTCTAAAGAATACAGGAAAGATTTGTAGAAGAAAACAGACTTTTGAAAGACTGATGCTAAAATACACTTAAAGTTGCATATACAGTCCATAAGACAAAAAGACAAATTATATTGAAATTGCAACAGCAAATTGAACTCTTAAAAAGTGACATCAAGAAAAGAGAATGTCAGTACTTCAGGCATTTGATCTAGCTGAAAAGCTACAGAAACTCATCGGAGGACAAAATGAAGGACAGCAGAAACAGGGTTCAAACTACATGATGGATGGAACAGTTCAGTTGCAGACAAGCTACAGTGGCTGAGAGAGGATAGTGCAAGACGGATTAGTGTGATGTGTAATGATGCTGATCTCCTGGTAAGAATAGCTACAAGACAAAGAAACAGACAATGAGAGAAAGAGAGATAAAAAGGAAAGAAAAGAGGAAAAAAGGAGAGAAAAAAAGAGCATGCCAGTTTTGTTCTTGTAAATATCACATGGTGTACATTGAAAGGATGGACGTAATCATAATCATACAGCAAAGAGGCCCTTCTGTCCATCGAGTCTGTATTGCCAAAATCTAAATCTACAGGAGTCCTACTTTTCAGCACTACGTCCACAGCCTTGAATGTTATGATATTTCAAGAGCATATCCAAGTACTTTTTAATGGTTGTGAGATTATTCATCTCAACAACCCTCTCAAATAATGCATTCCTGCCAACTCTCTGGGTGGAAAATTTAATAACAATTGCCATAGCTAACTTAATTTATTGCAGCTATCTGGCAAAAACTCCAGAATTCCTTTTCAGCTCTCAATTACACCCCAACACTAACTAGAAAGAACAAATTTGGAAATATAAGGCACATTTTAATGACTTCAGGTTGTTTTTTCTGAAGACCCTTGGGATTAAATGCTTATGAAACATAGTCTTATTAATTAGGTAAATGCTGCAGATAATTTACACAGCATTCTTGCACAGACAGGAACATCAAGTAAGTTTTCATTTGAAATGATGCCTCTTGGATAGATATTGGCCAGAGCACCAGAAGGACTCCCTAACTGTTCTTTTAGGTGCATCATAGAAACTCAGATGAATGAAGCTGTCAAGATAGATCTCAGTTAAATGTCTCATCTTAAAGGTGAGATCTCCTGACACTGCAGCACTTCCCATTATTTCACTGAATTTTCAACTTTGATTATCTGCTCAAGTCTCTGATACGTCTCTGCCTCAAAATTAGCATTGTGCTCAATAATTCAACAGATAAACTGAATATTTTTCCAGTCATTTTCATCACTGACTTTCAAGTATAGGTTAGATACAACAGGATTGCAATATTACTCCAATATTTCTTTAAGCTTGCTTTCACAAGAGAAAGAGAAAAATCATGCGTCTTATTTGGAAAACTGTTGTGGCACCTTTGACAAAATCAGAAATGGGATAGCCAACTGAATCATTGAATTCTACTTGCAAGACATAAAAACCAGTACAATAGTATGCAAGAGACTGGGAACTCATCGTGCCGAAACATCACAAGCACAAACTTTCATTCTCTCACATTGTCAGTTGAGCTTCATGGTTATACACTCACCTTGAGCTCAGACCATTGTTCGCTCAACCCATTTCAAAGACTTATACCCAAAATATGAGTAAAACTCCAGATATTAGAAAGTGCTGCATTGTCAGAAATGCCACTTTTCATGATACATTAAACCAAGGTTCAATTTTTATTCTCAGGCAGCTGTAAAGATCCCACGAGGTAATTTTGAAGAATAAGTGGGACTTTTCTCCAGTGTCCAGCCCAATACATAACCCAATAACAACATTACAAAGGCACGTTACCTGATCTGTATCAGACTGTTTTTTGGGAGTTTGCTGCACGTAAATTGGATACTGCATTGCCTACTTACAACGGTGATATTTTCAAAATATTTAATTGGGCATAACATACTACTGGATGTCCAGAAGTTGTGAAAGGCATTAATCAATGCAAGTGTTTTGCTTATATATTTTTACCATCTTAGGAAGCAACATGCTGAAGCATTACATTGCACTTTCAATCTTAGTCGTGGTTAACCTCATGGGTAAAAAAACAATCCACAGTACAAGTCATTAGACTCACACGCCTACTAATCTTAAAGGACAGAGTCTGCAAGTTCACAAAAAAAAAGCTTTATTCAATTGTCTAGATTGAATTAGCTCATCTTCATTAGTATTATGGTTTGGTCTTTGCATTTAAATTTTGTGGCTCTGGTGAGAGGAACTCAGAAGATTGCTGGTCAAATTTCACTACATCTCCACCTGTAGGTTCAAGCCACCTAAGCGGATTGTGAATTTCTGACAGGATGGTGGAAAAACTTGCCACCATTCAGCAACTATGCTCACGTGCAGGAGTAAACACTTAAACTTGCCGGCAGCACCTATGTATTTTTGTCTCAATATGAGCCAGCGCTCTGAAAGAGAAAACTAAAACCATTCACATGGATCACCGATTAGTTTGTGGGAGATAATGTATGTTTTGAGCCAAAGAACAGCTGTGTGTTATGTTTTCCCTGCTTTCTGGCTGAAATCAATGGACAAGCGCATCCAGCGTTAGCTTGCAGGCAAGAGTACGGATGTTTCTAATTGTAAAAAACAAAGATCCAGTCTATAGAAAATTCAAAACCGAGTTGTTGTATATATTGGTCCTTCAAAAATTATATATAAATATGCATCTTTCCAAGCGTACTAGCAGACTAACGTGAAAAATCACCTCGTGAATCCTTGGCTCGGTTTGACTCTACTGTTGTGAAAGTGACAGGCAATGTCCGTCGTCAAATGACATTGCACAGTTGTGCAATAAACAGAGAACTAGGAGTTTTAATCTCACCGGTTCCTCTAAGAATATTAGCAATACGATGAGAACGAAGCCGAAAGAAATAACCTATCGGACTACAACATGAGAACTACTATCATGCCACTTGTTTCCATGCGAGTCTGAAAACCACCAGAGTACCAGTGATGGTAGCCCACACTCTCATCAATGCAGTAAACCTTACCTCCACCTCCACCACCTCGTCGTACGCGGGTGGAGGGTCGAATCCACTCCGGCTGTAATCCCCTCCACCCACACCGCGGGACCCAGTGCCGCCGCCGCCGCCGCCGCCGCCACCACCGCCGCCTCCTCCTCCTCCTCCTCCTCCTCCGACCTGGCGATCGCCACTCTCCATGGGCTCGTAGCCGAGACCAGGGCTCTCGTTGGTAAGGAGGGCCACGGCCTCGTTGATGTCGTTCTTGGCCATGCGGAGCGCCTTGCGAATGGCGGCGGGCTCCGAGAAGCCCATGCACAGCAGCGTCGTCATGTGCTCTTCCTCCACGTCCATCCTGGCAGACAGAGCCTGTCACTTCAATCCCGCTCTCCCATAGAGACTGTCCTGTTACAAGCCTCTCTTACCCCTCTCCCTCTCCCCCTCAGCCTCAGCCTCTGGCTGGCTGACTGAAAGTACTCAGTGCGGCCACTCAGCCCTTCACTCCGAGGTGAATGAAAAATTCCTCGTCGGCCTGTCCGTTCCTTCAACTAAAACTCTTGAGCAACCTCCTGGCCGCCGGCGCCATGTTGACAAGATACTGTTTCCGGTTCCTACTTTCCAGAGGGAAGCCGCGCCCACTCTACCGGAGGTGACGTACCTGGCAACCCCTGCTGGCATCTTGGTGAGGTCGTTGCTTGCCACTGAAGGATGGAGAGATGGAATAAGGTATGGACTTGAGGTCTCTACCACCGGTTCGCAAAATGTTGTTAACATGAAATGTTAACTGCGTTTATTTTAATTCATCACGAATTTTGAAACAGGGGCGTTGAGCTTTTTCCAACATTTTCTTTTCCTAATTCTTCAATCTTGAGTTCAGAGATGTGTTAGACACAACTCCGGCACGGGCGGGAATTGAACATGGGTCCATCTGGTTCTGAGGAAGAGACACTACCACTGCAGCACGAGAGCCCTTTCTGGGATCTGCAAAGCTTAGTTATTTTGATGCTAATAAAAAAGAGCCCCGTTAGTTAGTGAAACCCACTCTCAACGAGTCCTGGAGTGGAAGATGTGAAAGCACAGAGAAAGTGGAGAAAACTCAATTCACCAAAATGGTCCTGGGCTCAGGAATTTCAATTACGTGAATTGATTGAAAAATCTGACTGTTCTTGGAGAGATGAAAAGGAGGTTTGCTAGAGCTGTTAAAATTAACAGAAGAATTCTGGACAGAGTAAATAAGGAAAAACTTCCTATTTTGAGAAGAATTGTGAGCCAGAGAACAATTTACCCAGCCTTCGGGCGCAGAAGAAGGGATTGCATTACAAGAGCCTGTTCTCCATGCTATGATTGTAGAACAGCAGGAACTGGCATTCACAGTGTGTAATAGTAATAACATAATTAGTTAAATTTCTTGTTACCTTTAGTTTTATGCTTAAGCTTTTTGTGCTGTCTTATGTCTTTGTGAAAGTGGGAGCTTTTGTTAGACTTGCAGTGGAAGAGTTTTAAAATTCAGTTATGGAAGTTGGTGTTGCTGGCTGGGCCAACATTTATTGCCCATAGCACAGTTAAGAGTCGTACTCATACAGCACGGAAACAGAGTCTTTGGTCCAACCGGTCCATGCTGAACATAATCGCAAACTAAACTAGTCCCATCTGCCTGCTCCTGGCCCATATCTCCAAACCTTACCTATTCATGTATCTGTCCAAATGTCTTTTAGATGTTGTAATCATACCCACATCCACCAATTCTTCAGGAAGTTCATTCCACACATGAACCTCCCTTTGCGTTAAAAATTTGCCTCTCATGTCTTTTTTAAATCTCTCTCCTCCCAGCTTGAAAATGTACCCCCTAGTTTTGAAATCCCCATCCTAGGGAAAAGACAACTACCATTACATCATTGGGAGTCTGGAGTCATAAGTTGGCCAATCCAGTTAGAATGGCAGATTTCCTTCTCTGAATGATATTGAGTCAGATGGGCTCTTTCAATAGTCGACAGTTATGTAGTCACCATTAAACTAAGTTTTTATTCCAAATATTTAAAATTTAATTCAAATTTTACCAACTGCCATGGTGGGTGTCAAACGCAAGTCCTCAAAATTAGCCTGGGGTCCGGATTACTGATCTGGTGACATTGCTACTGTGCCAGGCTTCCCTAAGTCTGTTGAGAGTTTACTTGGAAAAAGAAAAGAAACAAATTTCCTTTGGTGGCTCAACACTGGAAAAATCATGGAATTGAGTATCTGGTTTCTGTTGGAACTGTTTTCTTGTTATAACTTGTTTTGTTACTGTAAACATGATAATGGAGATATTCCATTTTACAGTTCTACTGATTTTGTTCCCAGGTACACCACATTCCACAATCCAGAGTGTGTGCATTTGTACAGCACACTGCATAGTTCAGCACATATACAACATGCAGTGGTTCACTCAAACTCTGATATTCTGTCCTTGATCTTTGGATTCCATGCATGCTACCGCTAAATCATAGTACATCAAAATAACATCAAAGGAAAATGCACTGAGCTCATCTCAAATTCTTCAGATCCTTCTGTTGTCATTGTTAAATTGTTATTTCATTACAATAAACATGAGGGACCAAACCAACTATTCCCACTCATCAAAAATAGGGATAAGTGACTTCCTCACATTCCTCACTTTAGTAATCTTAAGAATGCTCATTGATGATTAATTTGTGTTCAGCTAGGGCCACTCATTTCCTGACCTCACGATAGCCTTGGTCCAAATGTGAATGAAAGTGCTGAACTGACGAGTGGAGATGAGAGTAACTGTCCTCAACACCAAGGCAACATTTGACTGACTACAGTATTAGGGAAAATATAGTATTCTTCTTGTAACTAGCACCAGAAGCATTCAGATAAATCTCCTACAAAATGGTGCATTTTGAATCCATCCGCATGGTTCAAAACCATCTCTTCCGACAGGCCCTGTTTCTTCAACTCTCAAATGACCAGTGTTCCGGGTAAGGAAAAATAACTACAAAAATATTTTGATGTTTTCCTTGAAGTGGAGAAGCGTTCACGTTAATGACTGGGAGAAGCTTATTATCAATCATTTAAACTGTAACATCCATGATGGACTACATCATCCTTTGAGTCCACGCACCATGATGCAGCGGAGCAGTAGCAGAGAAGGAAAGGAAAAAAAGCCAATCTTGCACTCTGGATCCTACTATCTCCTGTCATGTCCTGCTGTATGTACCCAAAAATCTGTGGTTCAAGAATTGGCCTGTTTTGGACATGGAAAGCCATGTCAGAAACTCATAACCCTGGGTGGATGTCATCTTCAAATTGAGGGCTGGCCGAAGTATATATTTTTATGATTCTATGATTCATGTTATTTATTGTAAATAAATTTGATTAATGGTTTAGCCTACCCAAGTGGTCCAACTTTGTTATTTTGATGTATTATGATGTAGTGGTAGCATGCATGGAATCCAAAGCAAGCTGTTGATCTAAGAAAATGTGTTGGGGGAAGACTGAATTCTAATGCTTGATGACATTGATTAACCAAGATAGAACACTTCTATTTTGCAGCAACCCAAGCAGCAGAGGTTCATCAAAACTTTAGATGAAAGCAAATGTGTAGTATACAGCAGCATTCCCTCTAAGATGCACTGAGCAGAGCAGCTAGGACGTTCTACACATGGCATTTGGTGTGCTGACACCTTGCTGTCCAGTTACTGAAGCTGCGCACAGACTTCTGAATTGCATAGTGAAGAAAAAGAAAACTAGGGGGAAGCATAGAAATATGTGTATTGATTTACAGAGAGAATGCTTAAATTGTAGATGAATTATCTTCATTGGGTCAACTGTAATTTTCTTTTCAGGCTTTTCTTAATTTTCAGTTGTATGTTGATGCAGTTTCCTTAAACCATCAGCATTAACAGCTGTTTGACAGTCATCTATAAATCTACCCAAACAAATATTCTTCAGATTTCTTATTCGGTGCATCTCAGTGACAGTGGACCCTAATAGAGATCATCTAATAATAAGAAAAATCAAAGAGATTGTCCAGAAACTTTAACAGTATGTAAGCAAAATGCAGTGTGATTAATGCATGCCACTCTGGAGGTGTCAAATGAGAGTTGTACAGATGCTGTTGGGTGGATAACTAATTGGGAAAGAGATAGAAGAGAAAATTTTAGGCAAGTTTTAAAAAGGTGGAAAAGCTGTGCAGAAGTGAGATGATAATAAGACTTCAGTTCTGCTAATATAGACTGAAAAATGACAAAATAAAGAGCAAATATTGAAAGAAATTCATGGAATTTGTAGAACGGAACTTAGTTAGTATTTTTCTAGCCAAACAAAGCTAAACACAATGTTGCAATTGGTGTTTCTGTGAAGGAACATTTGGGAAACAAGGGTCACAGTGTTAATAGGTTGAGACAAGTAATGGAACAGGGACAAGAAAAAAAAATCAAATGTAAAAATATTCAATTTGAGGAGAACAAATTTCAATGAGTTGAAAAGTTTGGGCCCTGAAGATACAGAGATTAAAAATGAAACAAAGGGGGAGACTACGACAAGTTCATAATTTGGGAGAGAATCAAACACAAATGCAAAATTAAATACAAAAATCTCAAGAGGAAAATCGAGAAAGGAAGTAAGAAGGATAAAGAAAAACAAGTTTATCAGAACAGGTTACAAAAACAATGTACTCCAGATGCTTGATATCTGAAATAAAAACAGAAAATGCTGGAAATACTCAACTTGTCTGGCAGCATTTGTGGGGAGAGAAAGAGAATTAATGTTCATTGGAATTGGAAATAGTTACGGTATAATAGGTTTTAAGCAAGTCCAAAGGAAAGGGGAAAGAACAAAAGGGAAGATCTATGAAAAGGTGTAGAGTAAGAGAAATTAATGTTGAAATGGATGATGTACAAGGTAAAATGAGAAGGTAGTGCAACTGGTAAAGAAACAGAAGGTGCAAGTAGAAGGAAGCTTCACTGGTGGAGGCCTATGTAGGCTTGACCATTCCACCAAGCTGCACTAAATTAATAAATCTCTTCCCCTTTTATTTCAAACAGTCATCCAAAGTCATTACCCAGGACAAAAAAGCCCACTTGATTAGCACCACGTTCACGGTTACTTCTTCCACGATTCCTGCTTAGTAGCAGCAGTGTGTACCATCTAAAGATGCACTGAAGAAAATCACTATGGCTCCTTTGACAGCTCCTTCCAAACCCATGACTATCTAGAAGGACAAGGACAGTAGGTATGTGGGAACACCTCCACCTCCAAGCCACTCACCGTCCTTAGTTAGAAATGTTTTGCCAATACTTATGTGTTCAAAATCCCTCCCTAACAGCATTGTGGGTCTACCTACAGTACAGTTTACCAGATCAAGAAGGTCACTCGTCACCACTTTCTAATGGGCAGTAATTGGATGGCCCAGCTAGAGCCATTCACATCCTATGAATGAATATAAAATAATATACATGAATGTGATGTCCTTATTTATTTGAACAATGTACAAGTAACAAAATAAATTTAGTCTCTACCCAATAATAACACATGCATTTTCCAGTAAATGTTGCATCAACTAGTAGTACTTTTACAGATGAGTCAAAGGGCAATGGATTTATACCTTACTCCTGAACTTAGGCACTTAACCCTGGGTAACAGTTGAGAGCAGGAACATAATGCTGAAGGTTTTGAGTCCTTTGAACGAAATGTTAAGTTAAATCTTGCCTGTCACAGTGCTGCAT